CTTGATTTCCAATCGATTTAGTTTCCTTTCTTCAAATTCGAAGCATAGAATTGACTTGGATAGTAATGAATTTTCCATTTCTTGAAGGTCAAGCATTACCAATTGCCCTATATTTCTTCACTTCATGTTTCTGTTCTCTTGAAAAATAGAAAGACTATATGAATTTTTTTATGGGAGTTATTGAGTTGGAGAAGAATCAAACACACAACTTACTGTGGGTTTTAAGCCTCCATAAATTATTCCAGTTGGATAAAATCCTTGTAAGTCCTAACAGGGTCCTGTTTTAGTCTGGTGCCCTTGCACAAGCTCTCTACCCAAGTTTTCCCAATACCTGTTTGAGAGATTGACAAGAAGAAACTAATGATTCTCTCAAATCTTTTGATAGTAGGCCTCACTACGTTCGTACAATAAAAGTTAAGGATAGTGCCCTTGTCTTAGTTTGCTAATACATTGCATAATTAGTCATTGAGTGTCATCTATCATATCCGAGTGTTCAAATATTTGATCAATTCCATCATCAATTCCTTATTTCTCATATGTTCTTCTATATTTCATGAATTTCCTACTAGTGTTGTTGCCGCCTTGGCATTTGCTGGAAAGGGGGGGTATAAAGATTGTTGAGTTTATTGTTTGATGTTAATGCAACATGTGTCAGTACGTATTTTGTTAGTGCATTTATTCTTGGGCGCCAATGGTGCATGTAAAGTAGATAAACAAATAAATGTTACCCATTTGCTACTTAATTGTGGTGATTCTATTTGTGTGTTTTTTTTTTGGGTTAAATTGGCTTGGTGTGTTCACACTTGATTGCACCACGTAGGGCTCCACCTGTGATGTTTCCTCGTACCAATGATAAATATGAGAAAATTACTCTCCCTGAGGATGTTTACGTGAAGAAATTCAATCAGATGTACCCTGAAGCTCTACATGAAGAAGCTATTAGGTACTCCTTTTCCTCTATTTGTAGATCAGTTTCATATTTATAATAGTTTGGTTATCATTTATGATCTTAATTTAGTCTTGAGTATTAACACAAGGTGTACATTGACACGCACATGCTTAAAGAGAATTTTATACCAATTGAGTCTGAGAGTTTCTCATGTTTATATATGCCAACTTGGTATTACTTTAATGGATATCACAAATTTGACTGAGATGATTGCATATTAGTTCTACTTTGACATTTAAATATGCTTACTTTGAGGAAAGCATTGACTGTGTTCTCAATCCTCTACAGATTTAGTGGATTTGATCCCCCTCCAGCTCGAGTGTTTGGTTGGCGTGTGCTTGAGTTGAAACAACAGGGAGTCGGTGAGGATGAAGCCACGGCTATGGCTAGTGTATGCATTACATCTCCTAAACCGATACCTTCTTTTGTTTTCTTGATTGGTTAAAAAATGGGCCATTTTATCTGCATCAAGCTGGGATTTAAACCCAATGCCACTGTGCTGTGGCCCTTATACCCTAATCACTAACCCATATCTTGATGTTTTAACTGCTTATATTCTTGCATTTGTGTTGTCCTTATGACATCTACTTACTGGGTGATGTTGATCACATGTTTGCTATGCTTTCTGTAACAAGGAGTCATCTTTCTTCATTGAATAATGGATTGTGAACTAGTTAACTTTTCTGCTTCTGACCTGACAAGTTATAGCCTTTGAACCGTTTGAATTGCAGTTTGAGATGTTCCCTTTAGGCTTCAGAGATGTGATGCTGTTAACATTTAGTGCCTAATACACAGACTTGAGATGCTGCCTTCGTAGAGCTCTTAAGTTGAATGGGTGATAAAGAACTACTTGGCAATGAAACACCACACTCCAAACAATGGTTGCATGAATTATACAAATGATATGACAATAATCCTGTTCATATTCATGCTTTTCGATTCCAGTAGAATATCATGCAGAGCTATGATATTACCAAGTTAATATCATTAGACGAGCATATAACACACCGCTTAGTAGGTTGGAATTAAGAGTCATTTACCCCCTCAAAAGAAATAAAAGGTTAGGATTGAGAACACATCGGTCCAATCTATGAAGAACCACAAATTTAAAGGAATATTACTACGATCATAAGGTGTAGCTCTGAGATGCTTGCTTCCCCCCAAAGCAGCCCCATGACCTCTCCACTGGAACCCCATGACACCTGCTTGATTCTTGCCCGTCCCTATGATAGCCAACCATACTTCATAGCTATCACTTAAATGTCGGTGGAAATGGAGAACCCATTCTGGAGCCTCTCTGAAAACATATCTCAGAGTTTTCAAAGAATACCTTGTCCAACTCCTAACCCAGCTATATGAGAACTAGAGTCACCTATTAGACTAAACAAAACCCCAAGGAATGTTGACTCAAGTTCTTATTCCAGCATTCCCCATCCCATTCCCAGTACCACAGATCCCAGACCTCTGGATATCACATCAAACAATATTTTGGTTTTTAACTCTTGTGGACCTACTTGTGCGAGGAAATCATCATACACCACAACACCAAATGATCCCTGCATCCTACAAGTTATACCAATAAGTCTGAATCTCATACAATTGGTCAAACCACCACCATCTTCTTACTCATCCCCCACCATAATAAACCACCACGAGAACATCCCCTGCCCTCCCTCCATCCCACCTGCCATCTTCTTACTCATCCCCCACTGTAATAAACCACCACGAGACAACCCCTGCCCCGCTCCAACCCTGCTCCCTCCAACCTGCCCCCTCTGCATTCAAAGGCATTACAAAGTGGGGTCAACTAAAGTGAATTCCCTTGAACTATACTGCTGACCAGTGCCAGTGGTTGGTATTTTATTCTCCTTCCCAACTGAATGGCTAGCCAGTAGCTCAGATTTCAACTTCAAAGGTTCTAAAAATATCCTTCCCCTTGGAGGTCTGTGCTAGATGCCTTAAAGAGGAGGAAAATTTGCATTAAGGTCAAAGGAATACGAGTACATGCTTGGCATCTAGAAAGTTTTTGACAGATTGGAAATCTCTGCAGGTTTTTCTAAGATTAGCCGGAATTCCTTTCCCAGAAATGCTACTAGAGCTCATTGATATAGGTAGACCAGAACTCATCCCAGAAACAATGATTATTCCAGTGGTCCAAAAGTCCTATTTGCTGCACATTAACCATGAATTCCAGAGAGGGAGGGAGCCCTTTGGATGGAACGTGGAATAGAGTCACCATAGGACGGGGCATGAAAGTTGGGCGCACACAGTTAGGGACCAAACTTCTCGAAAGAGATATTGCACGGTGAAAGGACAGTTGGGAAACTGTAGTTCCCAGATGCAATTGATGATTAAATTTCAGGAAACAAAAATTTGACCTTAGTTGTTCTGGTCGAAAGATTAATGATGGATGTGTAACAGGTGGTCTCCACTGAATCCCAATCCTATAAAAACTTGCCACATGGAACCTCTTGTCCATCTCTGCAGGAAAATATCGGCCCCGAATGCTGCAATTCATCCCAGTTATCCCCACCATAGGTTTATTCCCTTGCAAGTCCAAAATTCAAATTCAATGGAGCCAGCATCTCTTATCAATTAAACTTCAAATTTGAATCGAATTTGTCTACTAGTGGGAGCCCATCTTCCTCCAAATCACCATTGTCCATTGTTCACTGTCTGAACCTCCCACTTTTGGAGGTTGTGCTTATCTCCCCACCTCTCTCCCTCATCATCAACTTTTCTGAACCTCCCACTTCTGGAGGTTGTGCTTACCTCCCCACCTCAATCCCTCGTCATCAACTTTTACAAATGTCCTTAATCAACTTCTCCTTACACAACATCACGGGGAATTGACCACCGCCCATCGCAGCAAATCCCTATAGACCGTTGAAATGGCAACTTCAACCACCCAAGGTACGGACTCCTATGGCATTGTAGACAATTGGTGCTCGTTGGCAAATGGCAAAGCAAACTGTCTGCCATCCATCTCATAAATCTCTCATAGGATGGTGGAGGTACATCGACATCAAAAACCTCTCCCCCTTGATGCTACAAATTCTAGCCTGGTCCAGTTATGTGTTTCCGTCCCAAAATGATTCGCCACCATATCTACCACCATATGCACTCCCTGTAAACTCAACAACTACAATTGTACTACCAGTGCTGTCATTGACCCATTTTTGCCCCCATTTGCGGCCTCACCAATCCTTAGCCATTGATCAACCTCTCCATGTTCATATCTAAATGTGCAGGACAATCAAACTCTGCTGGTATTTTAAGTTTTACTTTCAAAATTTCCCACCATTTTCCTCAGGAGGAATCCAAGTGAATGGTTTAAATCAATCTTAGATGTCACTGAACAAAATATTGCCTAAAAGTGGCTGAGCTTGTGGATGATCAGTATCACCACATGGATGATCCAGATGGCACATAAGATCTCTAGATGGTAAGTCATCCAATAGTTGTCATGCATAGACTTGATCCCAGCCATGGCCCCTGCAACCTAAATCTGTCCAAGGCTGCACATTTGCCATCTTGAGGCCAGCTGGCTCTGGATTCCATAGGTGGGACTACAGCTGGAGACAATCAACGACTTAAGGTCATTCAGACCTCCTTCCAATCGACAACCATATATCATTCGCTACCACCAGCCTTCTTATTAACATCCCTAATGCAGGCATCACTGATTTGATACAGCTGGCCATAGTTGATGGTTCCAGGCATCCCACTTGTAATCCCATGTCTTGTGAGCTCCTCATCACCAACACGGCAATCAAAGTCAAGGATGTAGCTTTTGGCACCGACATAGAGATGAGTCAATCAATTGATTGCCTGAATGCCTCGACAGTTCAAGCCAACAGCTTAGATTGAAATATGCTGCAGGGCAGACAACCAAGTCTTCATACCAAGTTACTTGGACAACCGAAGACCAGGTTGTTTCACATGGCTCACTGATCTGATAACAAAATCTTTATTGTCCAATTGGATAATTTTGATGCTACATTCTTGAGTAACGAGTTAAATACCCAAAAAGTCTCTCTATCTCTCTATCTCCCTCTCTCTCTCTCCTCTCTTCTCTGGTTTCGTCTCTCCACTCTCCTCTTTCTCTCCCTCCTTTTCATCTGATCCCTTTTCTAGTTTTCGTATCTCCTGTATCCCTTTTCTCTCCCTTCTTTTCGCCTAGTCCATCCTCTTCTCTTGCCCACCCCCAATCTACTTCACCTTCAACTCTCTCCCTTCTGTCTACTATCAGCCCCTCTCTATATTCCCTTTCTTGCTTCCCCCTCACACACACTCCCCACCCCCCCGCCCCCTCTAGAGGGAATTCAGGCTTGAATTCCAAGGCTAGTCCATTTTTTATTAGACCTAATTTTTCTTTAGGAGCTTTAGAGTTTAGAGCTTAAGGCAGAAGGGCTCCTCATTTTATTCCTTTATATTGATTAAACTCATCACCATTCTTGTTTTCTATTTAAGAGTATATTAGTTCTTTAGTCGATAATCCGATAATCCAAGTGAATGGAGAGATTAAGGAAGATGTTGTGTAAAGAGTTAAGTGGGCAAAGTGGAGATGTACTTCCAAAGTTTTATGTGACGCATACCAATGAAACTAAAGGAGTTTTATAGGACGACTGTAAGACCAAAGATGCTTTATGGGACATAATGTTGAGCGGTCAAGAAACAATATAGCCATATGATGAGTGTAGCTTAGATGAGGATGTTGAGATGAACGAGTAGCAAGACTTTAAAGGATAGATTTCCGAATGAATACATACGAGGGAACTTAGGGGTGGCTCTAACTTAGGTGGGCGGGTCATGTGCATTGTAGACTTAGTACATCACCGGTTAGGAGGGGCGATTTGGTTCAAGTAGAATGCTCTAAAAGGGCAAGGGAAAGCCCAAAAGGACATGCATGGAAGTATTGAAAAGAGAGATAGTGACTTATGGTCTAATTGAAGGTATGACCCCCTGGATAGAGCAAAATGGCGGAACAAGATTCGTCTAGCAAACCCCAAGTAGTTGGGATAAGGCTCAGATGATGATGATGATTTTGTTTCCTATTAAAAGAGTATTTAGGGTTTCTCGATGGCTAGAGGTATGAAAGACAAAAACAAATATTTTTGTTGACAATCATTTGCTTGAAATCTTTATATCATTGCTAGTTTGAGCTTGTATTTTGCTATACACTGAACTTGATGATGTACATGATGATCAGTCTTGGGGTGAGAAGCAATAGGATGTTTGAGTCATGGAGCTTCAATATAGAGAAACACTGTTAACAGTATATGAACAGATTATTTGAACACCCTTCAAGCATAACATATAAAGACAGTCATGAGCAATTAGAAAAATGCACTTGACCACGGTCTGCTTGAATCTCAATATATACGGGAA